GGAGAAGGGGAACAGTGTTGTTTCCCCTCGTGGGGACGAGGATGTGTGAGGCAGGGGGTATGGCACCCAGAGGCTGCAGCTGCGAGGCAGGATAATGGATGACGCGAGAGGGGGAAGTCGCTGCGTCTCTTGCCCCGGAGAGCCACTCTTTCTCTCGGGAAATAAGGGGAAAAAAACTACAAACCTCGTTTCACATTGGCCTCTTGAGCATCCAGCCAAAACACTGGACTGAATCTCACCGAAAAATTTTAACTCTATCGCAAACAAGTCAACACCTCTAGGGGAGGGGGACCGTGAGATGTGGGGGCGGGATTTTAGTGTTTTTAGTGTTTTTAGTTTTGGAAATGGGGAAATTGAATGGATGGTTTTTTAGCTGTTTTGAGAGGGGTTTGTTTGGAGCTGCACTGGTGCATCTAATAGGAATATTCAGAAATTACATGGAATTTTCAATGAAATCTGAAATTTCATGATTTTTTTCATGAAACTTCAGAGAAAAATGGAACTGAAATTGACAGTTCTCTTTTATTTTTCCACGAAATTCTCAATTTCCAATGCCGAAATGCCTTGAAATTTCAGTGGTAATCAAATTCGATAAGAATTTTCAAAAAGTATGCGCGGAAAATGGAGACAAAAATTTTTAATAGTGCATAATGAAAATCTTTTCATGACCTCAAACTATCTGTAGGATTTCAAACGTTCAAGTACACTGTTAGAAAAAAATGGACTTTCATTGAGAATGCAATAAACTTCCAAAATTTTATGCAACACAAAGACGAGAATTCCGTAATTTATTTGAATTTCCAATCTAATAAAAATATTCAGTGTCACAGTAAATTGAATTTTCAGTAAAATTTTCAGTAAAATGAAATTTTATTATTTTTTCATGAAATGTCAGGGAAAAATGGAATTGCAATTGACAGTTCTCTTTGATTTTTCCACGAAATTCTAAATTTTTAATGACGAAATTCTTTGAAATTTCAGTGGTAATTAAATGCGATAAAAATTTCCAAAAAGTGTACCGGAAATTTCAGACAAAAGTTTTTAACAGTGTGGGGGAAGGGAGGATTGGAGTTGGAGCCAAGGGACAAAGAGGCTGTACATCCGAAAACAGGGAATTTGAGAGACACTGGGAGTTGCCGTGAAACCCATTTATCGAGGGCTTCTAAAGGGGAGTGGGGGAAGACACTAGAAAGTTGCAGGATTTTTTTATTTTATTCATTGATATTTCCATCACTTCAATCGGCGTCTCATGGGTTTAGAGCGATATTTCTGGGATGAAAGCGGATTTTGGAGGTGGAGTGAGTTATTGCGGGCGGTTGAAGGGGGATAGAGTGATGACTTGAGAAGACATAGTACTCGATTTCGCAGAGTAAAATCTGATGTTGATTTTTAATGGAAGTTGATGGGAATACACGGGCAGGCAAATTCAATAAAAATTACCAGAAAAAAACGTAAAAATTCATTTCGGAACGCAATCCGCGAGCGAAGTAAAATTCAGTAAAAAGTGTGAGTCGGAACTGAAACTGTACGAATCGGCATGGAAATTCTACGATTTGTTCCGTAAAAATTAACCGCTCGGCTGATGACTCACCGCTGTGCGGATAACAAGTCGTTCCGTAATTTTTCCCCAACGATTGAGAAATTTTACGGAACGGAACGTAGAAATAACTCACCAGCTTCATAAAAATTGTTGAACGTTCAAGAATTTTTTATTTTAGAAGCATAATAAGNAACGTAGAAATAACTCACCAGGTTCATAAAAATTGTTGAACGTTCACGAATTTTTTATTTTGGAGGCATAATAAGTCGGAAAGTTTCTGAAAGATTTTACTTCTTCGGGAAATATTACGTGACAATTTCGTACTTTCTTCGGTGATGCTGAAAATTCACTGAACGTTTCAGATTTCTTCTCTTCCATTCCTATAAAAATTGCCGGAAAACGATTCCCCATTGTGGATTATGTGAATTGTTCCGTAATTTTTACTTAATATTCCACTCCCTGTAGAGTTATGGATATCCGAGTACTTTGGTTATTTTTTCTCCACTGAAATGGTTTTCTGCTTTTGTAGTCGAATATCAGAGCTTTCATTTGAGCCCTATTTGACCCTGAGTTTCTCATGATTCCTCATAATTTATCAGTAGTAATACCACTAGTACTTCAAAATTATCGGATATTTTCCGATAGCTTCGTTGCCTAGGAACGATTGTCTCAAACTCCGCAGGTTTTAAATCCCGAGTGCGAAGCACGAGGGATTTTTCTGCAGAATTTGACACACTCGTTCCTAGGCAGGGAAGCTTGAGGAAAATATCCGATTAATTTTGAAGCACGAGTGCAGTGAACAGCATCCGGATACATTTACACAGCCATACATTTACAACCTACTTTTTTGTTTATCTGTCGCACAGAATATTAAACGTCAAATGCGTTAAAAGATGACAAACATTTGAAAATCTACTAGTGAATTTCCGTCGGAAATTTTTTAGAAATTTCCGAAATAAAACTGTTTGACAGCCTCAAATACTGCGCTCTGATTGGCTGAAATCTGAGTGAGAAAAATAATCACAAAAATTTGACACTGAAGATGGATAATTTTCGTATTAGGCATAAAATTTTGATTTATTTTTTTCTCATTTTTTTTTAGATGTTTTCTGCATTTTAATCCGCTCTCTAATCTCGGAAATAGTATATTATGTCATTAGGCGATAAAAGTATTATCTGGCGATTGTGGCTTTATATGTGGGATTATAATCACATTCGCCAGATAATGCTTTTATCGCCGTGTGATATACGCTATTTTATGTCGTTGGGCCCGAAAACCGCGATCTAACTGAGCGAAGCGAGGTTAGAATCGCGGTTTATCGGGCCTAATGACATAAATTGATTTTCTCATGAGTCTATATTCTTTTGCCCCTTCTGAATTAATTATTATCAATAATTCAGTAGCGAAGTGGCCAGACGGTTTATTCTATTTTGGCTATTGGCCAGTTTTCAGTGAATATCTCGAAATCTAAGGGAGATAGCAAAATTTTTCTCATACTCTTTTTAGTAGCACTCAATTTGCTCTACAAAAAAGATAATTATGCAAATTTCGCTATCTCCCTTAAATTCGGAAATATTTCGAGAAAACTCAACTAAAGACTAAATTGACTTAAACCGTTTGACCACTTCACTACTGAATTCTAGACTGCCAATTGAGCACGAACTCAATCAAAATGTTTTTATTCATATCCACTTCCGTTCAGAATTTATTTCAAATTTTCATGCTTAAAATCTAAGTTCTGTTTATCCTAGTTTAATCTTTCTCAGACTCTGAAAACAAGCAATTCAACGGAAAATTTTCTATCTGTACGTCATCATACGAAACTTCCAAATCTCTGTGACAACTCTAAATCGTTCTGAGAATCGTAAAAAATTCCCATAATCGCTTCAGGCGATCAACTATAAAATTCAACTTTGTTGCTCCCTTACCCAAGGCATTTCCAACTCAAATCACCGGGGTTTCGACCTGCATACAAAGATACACAACATAATATCAGCCTAATCGTCATTCATATATGTTTATCGATTTCTTTCAGTAGTGTTTGTTGTGTACTGATATCCAACTGCTTACGTGTCATCCCTCACGGTTATCCGCGCGAGAATGATCGAGATTCCCCTATCAATTATTCAATCCCACAAACATGACGAAAGCAATAACGACGGGCGAAAGACTGAAAAAAAA